GTTGGCTTTCATGCCTAAGGCGGGACTAGAACTCCCAGTCTCCTGATGATTGGCCCAAAGTCACCCAGTTGGCTTTCATGCCTAAGGCGGGACTAGAACTCCTTGTCTCCTGGTGATTGGCCCGAAGTCACCCAGTTGGCTTTCATGCCTAGGGCGGGACTAGAACTCACCGTCTCCTAGCAATTGGCTCAAAGTCACTCAGTTGGTTTTCATGCCTAAGGCGGGACTAGAACTCCTTGTCTTCTGCTGATTGGCCGAAAGTCACCCAGTTGGCCTTCATGCCTAAGGCGGGACTAGAACTCCTTGTCTTCTGCTGATTGGCCGAAAGTCACCCAGTTGGCTTTCATGCCTAACGTGGGACTAGAACTCACCGTCGTCTGCTGGTGATTGGCCCAAAGTCACCCAGTTGGCTTTCATGCCTAGGGCGGGACTAGAACTCACCGTCTCCTGGTGATTGGCCGAAAGTCACCCAGTTGGCTTTCATGCCTAAGGCGGGACTAGAACTCCTTGTCTTCTGCTGATTGGCCCAAAGTCACCCAGCTGGCTTTCATGCCTAAGGCGGGACTAGAACTCACCGTCTCCTGGTGATTGGCCCCAAGTTACCAAGCCGGCTTTCTCTTTCTCTCCCCTTTCCCAGGTCTCTTCCCTTGGAAGCGGCAGCGACCACGTCATGGACGCCATCTCCCAGTGCGAGCAGTTTGCCAAGGAGCAGGGTGCCCAGGAACGCAATGCCCCTTGGCGACTCTTCTTCAGAAAGGAAATCTTCACCCCCTGGCACAATCCCACCGACGACTACGTAGCCACCAACCTCATTTACCAGCAGATCGTCCGAGGGGTGAAGTTTGGGGAGTACCGATGTGATAAGGTAAACCGGCATTTGGGGTCCCTGCCACCTTCAAAATTCGGGGCAAGCTGAAATCTATATTTATAAAAGCGAAAGATCCCCTCACGCATCATCACAAAATCTCCAGAACCGTAAAGCCTACACACTTGAAATTTGGCATCTATGTTCCCCTTGGCTTCTAGGTGCTCACTAAGAAAGGATTTTTCGAAAGTATTTCCTGTATTATTATTATTATTAACACGCTCTGATGCTAAGGAGTTCTACTCCCCCTCCCCACCTGAAAAGAAATCTCTTCCAAATGCAAAACACAAGCAGAGGAGTTTCAGTTTCAGACTACCAAGCAGCTTTAGTACAGAACAGTTGAGCTAAGCCACGCCCAGGCTCCTTGCTGTCTCGTTCTTGTTCACACAGCAAATACTCTTTCAGTTTCCAAACAGCTCTCTCACACTGACAGGACACTAGCCATATGAATACCGATGGATGCTGGTAGGCAGAGGCAGAATTTCCCCCCCGCCCTTATTTTCCTCCCCCGAAACTAAGCCCGACCACATAGTTTTGTAGCAAAACACAGGTACACGGCTAACTCATCATAAAAAGTAGGCGCCAAATGAAAACTGACGAGGGTGTCCAATATAGGAGACGAGTAGGCTGAAATGGAAGGCGGGGTTAAACGCGTCAATAGTTTGGCATCATTGCATTGCCACAAGAGACCAAGCCCAACACAAATACACACACGTAATTCTGCTGGCCCTTCCTTTTCAAGCACCAATTTAGCTTTGACTGTTGGTTGGCCAGATTCTTATGTCCAGATAGTCCTCGACTTGCAACAGCTTATGGCCACATCTACCTAGCCACACCCAACCCACATGACCACACCCACCTAGCCACTCCCTCTGGCCATGCCCACAGAACCAGTTGTTTAAAAATTTGAATTCCCCCTCCCCCCCCGCCTTTTATTCCCAGAGCTAGGGTGGGGCTTCGCTAGCAGTGTTGGCTCTTTCGTCCCAAGGACCGGCCCATAGATTTCCACTGCTCTCCTCTCCTCTGCCTTCTGCACATGTGCTTGTCAGGCACTAGACCCAGCTGTTCCTCCTCTCCCTCATCAGCCACTTCCAGACCTGGCGGCTGTTGACTCTCCTTCTGAGGGCTGACGGACGGCCCAGTCTGTGAGTTTGGTCCTGGGTAGATTCAGATCTCTCTCTCTCTCTCTCTCCCCCCTCTCTCTCTCTCTCTCTCTCCCCCCCTCCCTCTCTCTCTCTCTCTCTCTCTCTCTCTGCCAGCCCCATTCTCTCTTCCCCCTCGGAGCTCTCAGGTTGCCTTAATGCCGACCCCGACTCCCACGCTAACTCCTCCTCTGATTCGGCTGCTGCAGGGGCCGCTGGGCCACCAGGCCACAACCCAGTGGCTGAACAAAGGGTTGTAAGTTGAGGGCCACTACCTCTTTTTTTTTTTAATTGTTCTTCCCGTCTGTCTTTGCAGGAGGAAGACATGGCCGAATTAGCTTCCCAGCAATACTACGTGGATTATGGATCCGAAATGGTCTTGGAGCGTCTTTTGAGTCTGATCCCATCCTACATTCCCGACCGAGAGATCACGCCTTCCAAAACGGTCGAGAAGTGGGCTCAGTTTATCATCGCGGCCCATAAAAAGGTAACGCGGAGGGATTCCCTTTTGCAACAGGAGTGAGAGGATGCAGGATAGAAGGCCCACCTGCAGTGGATAAGAGGCCATGAGTTCAAGTCCAGCCTTAGGCATGAAATCCGGCTGGATGACTTTGGGTCAATCATCAAGTGACCGTGAGTTCTAGTCCCACCTTAGGGACGAAAGCCAGCTGGGTGACTTTGGGCCAATCACTGGGAGACAGTGAGTTCTAGTCCCGCCTTAGGCATGAAAGC